GGAAATTCCGGGGATTCCAGGAATTCCAGGGCGTTGATGGTATACTGATGCGTTGGTGGTATACTGGTGGTGGTGGCGGCTCCTATTCAAAAGCCTGGCGGAAGAGCTCCGTCTTGCAGGCTCTGCGGAACTGTGCTAGGTCCCGCAGAGCCCTGATCTCCTCTGGGAGCTCATTCCACCTGGGAGCTATCTAAGAATGCTCATTCCACCTGGGAACTATCTAAGAATGCTAATCTTAATCACTGGACAAAGCCTCAAACCCTTCTCTTGGGTGGTTCACCCATCTGTGGTTTCTGAGGACAGCTTTTACTATGCTGGAGAAGAAAGGGATTTCTCGTATCACTCCTTTTATTCCATTGTTCCTGAAAGCCCAGCCTGGATTCCAGCGATCTGGCTAAGACTGTAAGCCAAGGGATCTCTTCTCTGATCCCAGAACTCACGACAGCTGCCTTCCGAGGAGCTCATACAGGGCACGATTCCATCTTCCACCCCGTTCCCTTGCAAATGTGCATCTGTTTCCCACAGTCCTATAGCTGGTCTGCACCTGCCCACTGAAGGAGTTCTCCCCCTAAAGCCTCCTTTGGGAAGTCTAAATCCACATTTGGACAGTAGATGGAGCCCTTACCTCTTGGATGTGATGTTGTACTTGTTCTGCCGAGTCAGTATGTGAAAGACCCAGGCCTGGAAGGGAAGGACAGGAGATAGTTGAGTAATCAGAAATGTCAAACAAATTCATCTTAAGAGCAGGATCTGTGTCACACTTAGATTCGTGTCCAGCATGCACCTTAGAGACCAAAAAGATTTTCATGGTTTGAGCTACCATGAAATACAAGTTTAAGCACCTATAACTGGGATGTGGTGCTGTTTTTTGAAACTGGAAAGCGCTCTGAAAGGGGGAACTCCTTTCTTTTAAAATATTTTTTATTAGTTTTCAAATTCAAGTAAGCACAAAAACATAATCAGGTCAACTTGCAACTTACAAACAGACTTTCCCCAATATCTCAAGAGTACATAAGAATGGAGTTCAAGAACTAATAATAATAATAGACTTTATTGTCATTGTACATAGTACAACGAAATTAAAGATGCAATCATTTCGGTGATCTACAACAATATTCATATACACTCACACACCACTCACTACTGTCCCATAACTCCCTTAAGGTTCACATAACAACTTAAAACCACCAATGTCACCCAAATTCCAATTTCATACAGCATTTAAGGCAATAATAGCTCTCGAATAAAAACTATTTTTTAATCTATTTGTCCTTGCTTTAATTGTCCTATGTCTACTGCCCGAAGGCAGCAGTTCAAACAGGGAATGTTCAGGATGTGACAAGTCCTGCAAAATGTTCTTTGCTAGCAGCACATTATAACATTTACATGCAAGTCTCTTTAACCCTTTACATAAAAGTAATAATGTCTCGGTATTTACTGAAAGGGGGAACTTAGAGCAGAGCGGGAGGGGGTGCTCGATCCTTTCCTAGGTTCCCAGGCTAGCCTAATTGCCTCGGATCTCGGAAGCTAAGCAGGGGCTTCCCGGGTTAGTGTTTGAATGGGAGACCGCCAAGGAATTCCAGGGTCGCTATGCAGAGGAAGGGTTCGTAACTTCGTAACTTCTCTTGCCTAGGAAACCATAGGAGGTCGCCGTAAGTTGGTTGTGATTTGACGGCACTTTACAGACACATACATGTTCTTATTCCTGTGCGCCATTCCTCAAATGATTTCCCTTGGAAGAAGCACCCTGTTACTTATTTACTCAAAACTCTCTCTCTCTCTCTGTATTTTTTCCTTTGTGTGTGTGTGTGTGTGCCTGCCCATGCCTGGAAATCATGGCGACCTCTGGTGACTCCTACTGGGCCATGTAGGACATTCAGAGAAGTGGCTTGATAGCCTGCCTCGGCATCCCAGCCCTGGTATCCCTTGGAGGTCGCCCTTCCAAGTACTTGCCAGGGTCGGCCCTGCTTAGCTTCCGAGATCTGATGAGATCTGGTTTGTCTGGGCTATCCAGGTCAGGGCTGACTTCCTTTATCTCTTGTAGCTTTTTAATTTGCAAAACAGACAGGACACAGGTGCATTTGTTTGGGACCCAGAAAGCCCCTCACACGGACAGCGCTGGCTCTTCGGCTTTGAAACGGAGATGAGCACCGCAACCCTAGAGTCGGATTTGACTGGCTTTCGAGCAAGGGAACCTTTACCTTTACCTTTACCTATCCTAATATGGGACAGGCCTCCAAAAATGTCATGGAACGACTTAGCGTTACTGGATTTCTGAAGCATATTTGAGATTTGCGAGATGCCCTCTCCCGCAACCAGAGTTCAGAAGGCTCAGGTGAGACGACCGTATCTAATCTCACATCTCAACCCTGTTGTGCTCTGTTTTATTAAATATTTTCTTCGGCTAAGCAAGCTCCATGGAATTTGACCGGCTCTAGGAATGCGACTCCGCGAGTTTGGAGACCTACTCACTTGCACGGTTTCCGACATTTGCTGAAACAGCCCAGGAGGCCGGCCTTGAACTCAGCCTGGAGTTTGTAATAACAATAACCTCGGCAAGAGAGAGAGAGATGGACATACAGTGAGTTAATTGTCCCAGCCGTGGACGTGGGACGAGTGATTAAAGAGTTAGGGAGAAGTGTGTGGGGGGGAGCGAAATGGGTGGGCTCCTCATTTCAAAAGCCCCAATCCCTCCTCTGCACTTACCCCAGCCTGGGTGTTTAGTGTAGTCGCAGTAGACTGCTCCAGGTGGCAACGGGTAGAAGTAATGGCCGCAGCCGCAACGTTCCACCATGATATTCTGAAAACAGGAACGAATGCAGACCTGGGAGAAAGCAGGGGAGAGCCTTGAGCCATGGCGTCATCGCAACACCCCAGGGAGCTTGCTGTGACGAGTCGATCCTGCTGCTCCTGACTGAGGGCCAGGGCTCGGATGGCATGGGCCATGCGGTGGCGGTGGTGGTGGTGGTGGGGAATGAAGATACCTGCTCAGTGTAATGGGACGGGTAGAGGTTCTTCACTGGCACGTCACTCCCGTTTTCGGTGCAGTCGCTGTAGGTGCCTCCCAGGCGGTTTGTTGTTTCCTGTCCCAACAATTTGAAATCGATCAGCTCCAGGCAACTTCCTCGCTTGGTTCTGATTGCCATCTGCCTCTCCCGCCAAGGTGCTCTCTCTCTCTTTTTTGTTATTTTTGTGTGTGCGCGCACGCACGCACATCTGGATACCGTGGCGACCTCTGGGGACTGACCCCTATTGGGGGCCTGGAGGATATTCAGGGAGGTGGCTGGATAAAGCCTGCCCCTGCCTCCCGACTGCTGGTATTCCAAGGAGGTCTCCCATCCAAGTACTGGCTAGGGTCGGCCCTGCTTAGCTTCCGAGATCTGATGAGATCGGGTTTGCCCTGGGCTATCCGGGTCAGGGCGAGGGGCTGTTTCTTGTTTCCCTCCCACCTGGTCATCATGCTGCTGGATTTTGGAACGTGAACTGAGGACCTCATTGGTCTGCGATCAGGGACTGTCTAGGTCTCTGTGTGCTCAGCAACTGGCCCAAGGGCTTTTGGCCTTCTAGGTGTGCCCCCTGAAACTCTGGCTAGAGAGCAGCCCAGGTAAACTTGAACTGCTGGCCAGCCTGGTGACCCTGGTGGCAGGGTTGGGACCAGGGTTGCCATGGGGCTGCTTGCATTTGGTGCCCCTGGTGCCACCCTCATGCCACTCTGGTGCCCTAGGTGATTGCCAGCTTGCATAAAGCTGAAAGAGCTAGAACCACCTGGCTATACAACACACACTATCATATGATAGCTGTTATTATTCCAAATGGGGTCTGGTGATCCACCGGAATCACAACTGATCTCTAGGCTGCGTAGATCAGTTCCCCTGCAGAAAAGGGCTGCTTCGGAGGGCGGACTCTATGGCATTGTACCCTGCTGAGGTCCCTCCTCTCTCCTCCCCTCCCTAAACCCCAGCCCCCACCCCCAAATCTACAGGAATCTTGCCAGCCCAGAGTTGACAACTCTGCCTAGGGCTGCCTAATGGGAAGGCCACCTCTAGAACTCAGAGCTTCCTTCAGGATCAGGGATGTGCCAACCCCTGTCATCTGCAGGCAGGATGAAGCACCTGGACTGGTCAGCCCCAAAATAAATCCAAGGAGAGCCTCCCCTCCCATCCTCACCTGGCCACTAGAGCGGTACCTTCCAACTCCGCTTCCTAGGGCTCCACTGTACCTTTCCCCTCTCCTGCCGTGTCTTTCTGCACATCATGCCGTTGCTGCACCACAATAAGCAGAGAGCCATCGCGGTGTCGTGGTGAAGAGCAGAGGATTCTAATCTGGAGGAGACCGGGTTGGATTCCAAACTCCTCCACGCGAAGCCGGCTGGATCAGTCACGGCTCTCAGAGCGCTCTCAGCCAAAACACCCCCCCCCAAGTCTAGTTCACCACCAAGTGGTGCATAGCGCTAAAGGAGTTAGAACCTAAGGCTGCCAGACCATCTTCAGATCTCCAGGCTGTCCTACACACAATGCCATATGATGGTGATTATCGCCACAGTAAGCCACTCTGAGTCAGTAGGGCAACCGTGCCCCACCTTTAAGCACCCAGCAGTCTTCTCTGGGCCAGTCCCCATCCATGGTTTGGCCCCTGCTTCTGCAGAGAGCGGGCTGCGTGACTGGGTCTTCAGAGAGGGGCAGGCTGCCTCATGCTCCAAAGGGAGGGTCGGGAGGAACCTGGCTAGAAGCAAATGACCTGTTATATTGTACAGTGTGCCTAACGCAACAATACTGCATTCTCCACACCTCACAAATTACACAGGTCGATTCTGAGTAGGGCTGCCAAAGTCCCTGGACTCTCTGTTCCTGTTGCCCATCAGGGATCATTTCCTGCCGGAGCGCGCAGGAGCGGAGCTCCGGCAGTAAATAGTCCAGGGGGCGGGCACATGCAACAGGCCCCACCCCCTGCTCCCAGCAGCCCTCAGTCAGAGCAAGAAGCAGCCAGGTAAGTTGCAGAGTCTCCCCCCAGCCCCCTGGTCCAAAACAGTCCAGTGGCACCTTTAAGACCAAGTTTTATTCAGGTACAAGCTCTCTCTCCTGTGCGAGGACAGATCTACACATCCCCCCCCCAGCTAGCAATCCAAAACAGTCCAGTGGAGCCTGAGCGGTGGGTGTTGCCTTCTGACACACTTCCGGTGGTGTCAGGGAGTGTGGAATATGCAAATAAGTTATGCTAATGAGCTCCTGCACCTTTTTTCTACAAAATGACCCCTGTTGCCCATCATTGCTCCAAGTGTGTGTGTGTGGGAACTAGCCGTATCCCTGGTGTGATGACATCCATTTTCAGGAAAGCCCAGAAGTGATGGCTGGTAGCTCTAGGAATTGCCAGAAACTCTTTGGTAGAACCATAGAATTTCTGGCGATTCCTACAACTACCTGCCACCACTTCTGGTGATGCTGCCTGCCTACCATGTCCCCACCCCTTCCCTCCTGCTGGTTACCAAACTTGGCTTGGCAACCCTAGGTCTGTGGTCCATACACTGTGTAACAATCAGATGTGAGTTCTCCTCAATTCCCATACAAGCGGTGCCTGATTTGGCCCAAGACTGGGCTATCCATGGAGAAGGGGCTCCAGCTTCTCCCCCCCTGTGCCATTTTCTTGATCTGAAATGGTCTTGGGGTGCTATTTGACCCACTTGGGAAACATAGTACATGTGCCCAAATAGTGCTCGCCAGACAGTTTCAGCCCAGGAAAACTATGGGGCAGGACTGAAGCCCCTTCCCCCAGTAAGCTGTGGTCCTGATCCAAATCGTGCACGAGGAAACTGAGAACCTGCAACTTATGTCTGGCTTTTACACAGGATAGGGATGTCAGACCCAATGGGTGTACTCCGTAACGTGTGTGTAGCTATTACCTAGAGTACACGGGCTGGGTCTGGGGTTCCCACCCTGTGTGCTGAATAACAATCACACATGACTCACAGGTTCTTAATTTCCATGCCTCCTGAACCAAATAGCGACTGTGATGCATTTGGACAACCTTCAACCTCCCCCCCCCCAGCCATTTTTCCAGCCTGCAGTGCAGAAGGCACTATCTGGGGGAACCCTATGTCTACACTTGTGGATTCCCTCAGTGGACTAAAGAATGCCCCTGCAGGATTGCTTGGAGTCAGGAAAATTGGGGGGGGGGGGGGGGGGGGTAGAGAGGTCAGATAGTTGATCATTTTCCTTCCTGCAATTGCTAATCCTTTTTCTCCCCAATGAAAAACTTGTAGACAATAAAGCTGTGATTGTCGTAATGAAGATTAATGACGTTGGCTGTTTGTTGACACTCTCCGGTTTCACGGAACTGCGTAATGATGGAGGTTATTTTATTTCGACCTCTTCTGACCTGCAAATCTAGACAATAGACTGAGAACTTAACTAAACACAGCACAAAAGTGTTGTGCACATGTCCTTGTCCTTCCCTGGGCCCACACCAAGAGCTGCTTCCCCACACCCTACGGTTGCCAACTCCAGTTTGGGAAATTCCTGGAGATTTGAAACCTAGGAAAGGCAGGGCTTGAGAAGAGGAGGGGCTTAAGTGGGGGTACAATGCCATAGACTCCACCCTCCAAAGCAGCCATATCGCCCAGGGGAACTGATTTCTGTCGTCTGGAGATCAGTTGTATCTCTGGGAGATCTCCAGGCTGTGCCTGGAGGTTGGCAATCATACCATGCGTACTGAAGCCCTCTCCCCTCCCCCTTACCTTTCTCATACTGATGGAGGTTTCCATGCCGGGACGTACGTTAAAACCCCCGTCGTCCATGAAAGCCGGCTCGTTCTGACCGTGGACCATGACTCGGGCCCCCGTCACCGTGGAGAGGAGGGGGATGAAGTCATTCTGCTCTGTTCGGACGACCAGGGAGAGGCCTGAAGAGGGGTGGTGGTGGAGCACAAAAAATGGTAAGAAAAGAGAGGGCGGGAAAAGAGTGTGGGAAAGTGAGGTAAGGCAGGTAGAATGCAGGATGGCAAAGAAATTGAGAACACGAGAGAGTCTAAAAGGAGTTCAGGGCTGAATCCTGGCTAGGCTAAAAAGCCGCTCAGAAATGATGGTCACAGTCACAGAACAGACTGAAAAAAGAAGGAACTGTGAGGTCACTGTGCTAGAAAATATTTAAATAACAATCACAAAATGTATACAAAAATGTGTGCAAAAAATCTACATACATAAATGCACAAGGCAATTGAAAATGGTGTGACGATGGTCTCCGGAATGTTCTATCGTTTCGATACTGTTCTTCCGAAAGTGGACGTACACATTTTTGTATAAATTTTGTGATTGTTACTTAAATATTTTCTAGCGCAGTTACCTCACAGTTTCTTCTTTTTCCGGTCTAGGCCAAAAAGCCTCCAGGGTAGCGCCTGGTATGGTTGAGGTTAGATTTTAAAACGAGGCAGCAAACAAACAAATAAGTGGGGAAGTACACAAGGTTGCCAACCTCCAGGTGGGCTCTGGAGTTATCCTAGAACTACAGCTTAAAAAAAATGGCAGCTTTTGACTGGGACCTCTCTGGCATCACATCCTGGCAGAGCTCCCTCCCTTTCCCAAACCTTGCCCTTCCCAGGCTCAACCCCCAGATCTCCAGGAATTTCCCAACCCAGAGCTGGCAACCCTAGGTAGGAGGTAGAACTGGGTAAGACTGTTAGAACCGGGTGTGGGATGAGCTAGCGAGTGGGAAGAGGGAGGGAGGGAGGACCAGCCCTCATCTCTGTGGCCTTGTGTCCGAGAGGCCTGGTTCATACAGTGAGGTAGCCCAACTATTCCTGGACTGCAGGCTTCAGGGAGCTGCACGACTGAATGGTCCTTCACACAAAAAGCTCCTTACAAACTGGATGTCAGAAGGCTGGGTCCGAAGCACCACAGAATCTCAGCAAAGCGGGATTCCCCGCCTCCCCCCCTCTGCTGCAGACCACGAAGTCCCCCAACACTGGGTGATTCTGCACTGGACCTTAAATCCTGCTTCAACCCTGTCCCCGAACTTACATTCTACACCACCCTTGAGTTCACCCCTGTAATTATCTCGGGGTATTTTTTGTTTCCACATTACACTGAGGTCACCCCGGTTTCGCCCCACACCAGTGTTCCATCTAAGCTGAGTTAGTGTGAGCTAGCTCACAGTTTTTTAGCCTCCAGCTCACCCATTTTTGTCTTAGCTCCCAAAGAATGGCTCCAGAGCAAACTAATTTATGCAGAAGCCAACCCGCTTGCTCATAACTTTAATGCCAGTAGCTCACCAATTACAATTTTTGCTCACAAGACTCCACAGCTTAGAGGGAGCACTGCCCCACACTTGTCACCGGATAAACGGATGCTCTTATAACCAGGGATAAATGCAAGGTATTGTGTTGCGGGCTGAATTCTGATAAAACCAGGGATGAGATCCAAGTGCGGAAAGGACCAATGTGCTATGGGGGAGGGTGTCAGGAGAACACTGGGAGGTAGAAGTGGAAGTCCATAGAGGGAGCAGAGAATTGGCAGAACTCCACTAACGAAGAAGTGCCCTCCCGCCTGGGGCTCCAACCCAGACAGAAGAGTTGTAGCCAAGCGTCCTTCCTGATATGCTTGTTTTGTATGCAGAGATCTGCTTTTCCCTGCAAGGAAACATCCACCAGGTGGCTTCAGAGGGTCTGCAATAGAATAGCTAGATCCGAGTCCAGCAGCACCTTAGAGAAGAATGAGATTTTTGGGGTATAAGAGAGTCAAAGAATACCTTGGGACCTGACAGTCTGGACTCGAATCCAGATGATACGCCCCGGGTGAATACGCTGCCCTGTAGCGTAAAGAGTGGTTTCTCCACCTCATTTGCGTGGGTTCTAGACGCATTGCAGTGATTGGCTCTGGTTTATTAAGTGATTTCAGCAAACTACAAGACAACCAGCAGGGCTTGAGCCCTGCTTATAAAGCATGCAAACACAACACCCAACACACACCCACTCCCAGTGATGGGCTATTTACATAACACTACTTATCTCTAGAGCAAGCCTCAGAGGACAGCGGAAGACAGGAGGGCCTGGCGTGATCTGGTCCATGGGGTCGCGAAGAGTCGGACTCGACCGTGCGACTGAACAACAACACTTATCTCTTGGTTAGCTCCAGGATCCAGGCGAGCTATCGTTCTAAAGCTGCAAGCTCGACCCGTTCCTGGTACAGCTTGCGGAATGGCTTAGTCTCAATACGTAACAGTGTTCAAGGCAAGAGGTGTCCAGAGGCGGTTTGCCATGGCCCTGCCTCTGCGCAACAACCCTAAACTTCCCTGGCGGTCTCCCATCCAAGTACTAACCAGGGCTGATCCTGCTTAGCTTCTGAGATCTGATGAAATCGGGCTAGCCTGGGCCATCCAGGTCAGGATTTGTGTGAACTCGTCCCAGGCAAAGGGGACCCTTGTTAGTACAGGAGCAGGGCACTGCAGCCCACACATCCTACCATAACCTCAACTGGAGTTTTTTTGTCTGAGGGGCCTCCCTAGGATCTGTTACCTGCAGCTGGGGTACAGTTTGAAAACGGAGTCATGGTCTGGAGCGGCTTTTTGTGACATATCTCACTACCCAGCATGCACCTGCTCACCGTTATTGATCCCAGGCAGAGAAGACATCCAGAGGGTGCCGTTATTGTCATTGAAGGTGTAGCAGTTCCCATAAATGGGGTGGTGGAAATGCGTGTAGTTCCTGGGAGAAGAGAGATGAAACATCCTGGTCAGTTGCATTAAGGGAACTGAGCACTCCATCACCTCACAGGCTCACCCTGTCACTCTGTTAAAAGAAACTGAAATAGCAACCGCAGCAGAAAAACCAGCCGAAAAGTCACAAAGCAGTGTGCAAATGTTTGACTTTGTTACAATGCTTCTTCACGTTGGATGTTTAGGGAAGAAAGCAGTGTGTGTGTAAACGCTGTGGTTAGGTGTCCTAGTGCATGACCGTGGGGGGGGGGGGAAGTGCTGCAGTTTTTAACAGTCTAGAGACAGAATGGACAAGGTGCTTTGAAGATTTTGTTATATTAGAACAAGTAGTCCCTGGTCTTGCTGAGCCAGTGGGCACCTTTGGGAATGTTGAGAATGGGGAATGTTGAGAATGGGGAATGTTGAGAATGGGAGATTGTGTAGGGTTGCCAAACCAAGTTCCTGGAGATTTGGGGGGTGGAGCTGGGAGGAGGCAGAATTTGTGGAGGGGCAGGACCTCAGTGGCATATAATGCCATACAGCCCACCACCCAGAGCAGCCATTTTCTCCAGGGGAACTGATCTCTGTCATCTGGAGACCAGTTGCAATTCTGGGAGATCTCCAGGACCCACCTGCATGTTGGCAACCCTAGGAAGTGGATGTATCAACAAAATGGCGCCATAGAGTGCTGGAACCAACCCCCAAAATATTTGGAGGTTGCATGCCAAGTGACTGGAGGCAGCTGCTTTGGATGGGTGCCCCCTGAAGACCCAAATGTGACGCTTCCTGTCTTCTCCTGCTTCAGTGAGGTAGAGGAAAACCAGGGCTAGCTCTCTGCTTTGGGGAAGAGATGCGTTGAGGGAGAAGCAAATGGGCAACAGGAGACCCACTAGTGAGAGCTGACATGGCAGAGCGGATAGAGTGTTGGATTAGCGCCCTGAGGGACCCGGGTCCGAACGTCCACTTCTACGTGTATGCTTGCTGGGTGACCTTGGGCGAGTCATGTTCTCTCAGCCTAACCTACCTCAAGGCATTGTTGTGAGGAGAAAATGTAGGAGAAGAGAACTATGTTCCAAGCTGCTTTGCGTCCTGACTGGGGAGAAAAGAGGGACGTAAATAGATACATGCAGGGCTACTTTTGGGCAGGAACGCACAGGAACGGAGTTCCGGCTGGCTCCTGAGTTGGCCACGCCCAGCAGGAACTCATAAGCATAATAGGCCACACCCAACAGCAGAAACTCATTAGGATTGGCTACATTAGGGGTGTGTGGCCTAACATGCAAAGGAGTTCCTGCTACAAAAAAAGCCCAGGGTTTTGACCACAAACAAGGTAAACAGAATAAGAAGCAAAAGGTGGGTGTGGCTGGATGAGCACACTTCTGGTAACATGGGGGTGCGGCCTAATGTGCTAATGAGCGGTGCTATCAGGGGTGTGGCCTAATAGGCTAATGAGTTTCTGGTGTTGGGTGTGGCCTGTTATGCTAATGAGTTCCTGCTGGGCTTTTTCTACAAAAAGAGCCCTGGATACATGCAAATGCATTCACGGTGCCCACGGGTGCTGTGTTGGGGATCATTGGATTCCAGCATCTGTTGGTCCTTCATGCCTTGGTGCTGCAACATGAGATCTTTGCTGCACCTTAGCACAGTCTGGCCTGATTCAGTTTGCATCCATGCCTTCTCCATTCCATTTTGAGATTGTTACACTGATCTGGGCTTTTAATCCTGCACCATCTTTTCCTCTCCTTTTGTTTCTTGCTCACCATGTCAAGTCGCAGCTGACGTACGGTGACTCCAGAGAGTTTTTGAGGCAAGAGACAAACAGAGGTGGGTTTGGCCATTGCCTGCCTCTGTGTGGCAACCCTGGAATTCCTGGGTGGTCTCCCATCCAAGTACTAACCAGGGCTGACCCTGCTTAGCTTTCGAGATCTGACAAGATTGGCTAGCCTAGGCTATTCAGGTCAGGGCATGGCTTAGGATACACACAGAAAAAGAGCTCTGTAATGTACTCAAAATGCTGGCGCTCTCTGACGCCATCCACTTGACTTTTATAAACTTACCAGGGCTCTTTTTGTAGCAGGAACTCATTTGCATATTAAGCGACACACCCCTAATGTAGCCAATCCTCCAAGAGCTTACAGTAGCCCCTGTAAGAAGAGCTCTGTAAGCTCTTGGAGGATTGGCTACATTAGGGGTGTGTGGCCTAATATGCAAAGCGGTTCCTGCTACAAAAAAGCCCTGAACTTAACAAAGGGCACTTGTGACAGATGAACCCTGCAAGAAAACATGTATTCCAGGAAACTCAGTGTGCATTTCTTCTGTTCTCGGAGACGCTCAAGAGCTTCCCAAAGAAGGTAGGGCTTTAAAGGGAAACAGGGAGACACAGGAAAGAGGTAGAGGTGACACCCTCAAGCTGTGTCTATACCGTAAATAAGGCATCAGCAGCCTCAGGTGCAGATCCGCATGGCTTAAAGGCCATTCAAAATTGAAACAAGGATCAACAGCACTCGAGTGATGAGTCAAAACAGCCCCGAGTGTCAGCGACAGGTGGGTTTGGGATGGAAAAAGAAAGGAGTCAATAAGTTATGAAAGGGGAGGTCGAAGTAAGGTGAGTTGACAAAGAACTGCAAACAACTGCCGCAAGCGACGCTGGCTTGACGGAAGGCCAAGCTGACCCAGGATAACCACGATTGAGCGGCAGTGGTATTTGTGGACTTTTAAAATATTGGCCCAAGTGACATCGTAATTAAGACAGATCCATGTAATGTAAGGTATTAATTTCAACATTTTAAAAAAAATACTGAAATGGGAAGGTGGATACACTTGGCGAAACACTTTGGTGGTGGGAAGTATTGTCAAGTCGCAGTTGACTTATGGCAGCCCTGTAGGTTTTTCAAGGCATGAGACAGACAGAGATAGTTTGCCACTCCCTGCCTCTGCATAGCAACAGAAGGAGAGGGGAGGAATGTAGATTGTACTGCTGATCACCATTTTTAAAAGACTCGAGTGAGTATGCATAAGGATTCCGCTGTTAAGCAAATAACTTGTTATGGCCTGATCTGCTTTCCAAAATAATTTACGGTGATAACTTGAGCTGCCCTGAGCGGCTGTGGGAAAGGTAGAACACCAGTGTTTGGAATAAGTCAGACAAAATACTGAAAACTAGTGTGGAGCTAAGGATAATGGGGCCCATGTTTGAAGATGGGAGTTGTTTTGGGACTCACGCTTCGCTGCAAGACGCGTCATTGAAACGGCAGGCGTAGATGAAGCTCTCAAAGTTGGACTCGTCTAGGTCCTTGGTGGCAGGGATCCGGGCCAGAATGTTGATGTAATGGAAGCTGTACCACTCTCGTACAGCGTCCACACCTGACGAGTACATTTGGTGGAAATAATCAGTCTTGTTTTCATTCCACTGCAAAGGGAATGAACAATCTTGTCAGGACATCCCAAGACAAAAGTGATGGAGTGTGGAAACAAAGACCTTCCTTATGATTAGGGATGGGCATGAACCGAACCACGAAGCAAAATTCGTCACAAATTTTGCCTTGTTTGCAGTTTGCAAACTGAAGTTTGTAATGGGTCTACCGTCACGAACTTCCACGAACTTGTAAAGCAGTTTGTGGTGGTTCATGGATAGAGGAGAAAGTAGGGGTTTAAAGGGACTGCTTTCTGTTCCCCACAAAAGCCGCAAAAACAGCGGAGTGGTGGGGAGCAGCATGCTCCCCTGCTCATCTGTTTCCAGCTTTCTGCAAACCCTGTTTAAAGGCCCCTTTTAACAGGGTTTATGGGGCCACAAACCATGAACTGGTTCAGTTTGTGAGTAAACCTCCTAGTTCAGTTCAGTTTGTGGTTTGGCTACAAACCATGAACTGACACAAATCGCATTCTGGTTCGTGCCCATCCCTACTTTTGACAGGACAAGCAAGTGGAGACATGATAGAGGTCTATAAAATTAAGCATGTTGTAGAATGGGTCCCCAACCTTTTTGAGCCTGCAAGCACCTTTGGAATTCTGATACTGGAGGCGGAGCCAGTCACAGAAGAGCTGCAGCTTACCTTCAGTCACATAGTGATGATCCTTGTACTGCACTGGTAGATGCTTGCAATGGAACAGAAAAAGATGCGCCGTAAATCTATGCAGACAGCTACCATAAAACCGAGAGATCACATGAAGTGAAAGCGGCATGCAGTCTGGACACTGCCATAAAATCCGACAATCAAAGTGAAAGCGGCATGCAATATAGAGGGGAATTTCTGTTCCAGCATGGGTTTGGTAAGACAGCAGAGCAGATGCAGATTGGGCTAAAGACTGTTGCAAGATATGTACATGCTTAGAGTCTGTATATACACCACAGACAAATGGGATTAACAGTTATTCCCTTACCTTGGGGAACTGTGGAAGATACGGTTTGTGAGACAGGAACTAGGAACACAGAGTATTCTGAAACTACTGTTCTCAGGAGACTTTTTTTTGTGTGTGTGTGTGTGGGGGGGGGCACCATGAATCAATGCTCCCTCTAAACCGTGGAGTCTTGTGAGCAAAAATTATATTTTGTGAGCTACTGGCATTAAAGCTGTGAGCGAGCGATTTGGATACTGCATAAGATAGTTTGCTCTGGAGCCATCCTTCCTGAGATAAGACAAAAATGTGTGAGCCGGAGGCTAAAAAACTGTGAGCTAGCTCACACTAACTCAGCTTAGAGGGAACACTGCCATGAATACATTGGTATACTATTCATTTATTTATTTGCATAGGCAAGTAACATTGTTCTTGCTGGAACCCCTAACCCTAAAGTTATTAAAACCACTCTCTGTGTATGTCATATTTGTTTTCTTTCATGAACAAGGATGTTCAAACGTAACACATATCTGGATTTGTCCTGTCGGAGATCAGTGAACCTTAAACTGAGTTCAATTAATTTTTTTTAAATTTCAGTGATCTGAGATCTGAGCAGGGCTTTTTTGGTAGAAAAAGCCCAGCAGGAACTCATTAGCATACTAGGCCACACCCAACAGCAGAAACTCATTAGCATATTACGACAGAACCCCGACTATTGGGCCACACCCCTGATAGCACAGCTCATTAGCACATTAGGCCGCACCCCCATGTTACCAGAAGTGTGGTTATCCAGCCACACCCACCTTTTGCTTGGTATTCTGTTTTCCTTGTTTTTTGTCCAAACCCAGGGCTTTTTTGTAGCAGGAACTCCTTTGCATGTTAGGCCACCCCCCCCCAATGTAGCCAATCCTAATGAGTTTCTGCTGTTGGGTGTGGCCTATTATGCTAATGTGTTCCTGCTGGGCGTGGCCAACTTGGAAGCCAGCCGGAACTCCGTTCCTGTGCGTTCCTGTCCAAAAATAGCCCTGGATCTGAGTGAGATTGGAGCAACAGGACTGCACAGTTAAGTTACTAAGGCTGTGGGCACACGGGCAGGACAATGTGGGGGGGAGAGCGTGGCTGTTTGCCCCGGGGCTAAAAACCGTGTGGTTGCGCGAGCAGACCGTGGAGGTCCCATGGTAGGGGGGAGGTGCCAATCACTCCATAGTCCTGCAGCGCGGCAAATAAGTGGGGCGTGAGGCAAATGGGGTTGGTTTTTTTGAAAAACTCAAATGTGTGCAAAAAAACAAAACCTTTTTGCAAGGGGACATGGGCGGGTACCGGAACTACCACCGGAAACGCGATCAGACGCCCGCCCTTGCCCCGCGGTTTCAGGTTTTACCGCGCATCTTCCGCGGGAAGTCTCGTTTTCATGAACAAGGATGTTCAAACGTAACAAATATCTGGATTTGTCCTGTCTGAGATCAGTGAACCTTAAACTGAGTTAAATTAAATTTGTAAAATTTCAGTGATCTGAGATCTGAGTGAGATTGGAGCAACAGGACTGCACAGTTAAGTCACTAACTTTATTACAGCCCACTGCTCTGGAATTATTCACTAGCAGAGCATTGCAACGCCCGTGCCTAATGCTCCGTGTGACCACAGTCTAACTTTATTACAGCCCACTGCTCTGAAATTATTCACTAGCAGAGCACTGCAACGCATTGGGCACAAGAGACCCGTTGCAGACACAGCAAACTGCTTAACACTGCTGGGAAGGCCCCCTGGATGTTCCTCCCTATGGATGCGACCAACATGAGGACCACAGCAGGGGTGCTTAAGAACATAAGAAGAGCCCTGCTGGATCAGACCAGCGGTCCATCTAGTGCAGCAACCTGCCTCACACAGTGGGTAGCCAGGTCCTCTGGATGGCCAACAACAGGGCATAGAGGCTGAGGCCCTGGTATTGGTGTTCAGAGGTTTATTGCCTCTCAGTGTGGAGGTTTCCTTTAGTCACCATGATGCACCTCTTCTGTGTGAACCTGTCTAACACCCCTTTAAAGCTATTTATGTTCATGGCCACCACTACCTCCTCTGACAGTGAATTCCACATTTTAATCACTCATCGTGTAAAGTAGCATTTCCTTGTCTGGGGCCTGATTACCTGGCCAAACCACCTAAGTGTTTTCTTGGGACAGCACAATGGGGCATGCTTATGCCCTATAGGGGTATAGCATCACCATCTGGATCTCTCTCGCCACTGGCTGGGTCCAAGCTCGCTCAGTTTGGCCTCAGCAGAAGGCCACGTGAGTCCAGGAGGTGGCTGCAGCCACAAAGGCCAACACAGCACTGCGCTGACTCAGTTTCAGTACAAAACATAATGTCTGAGGGAAGCAGCTTTCTTGCACCCGGGCTGCCATGGCTATTGGGATTCTATATTACCCTGGAGAAGCTGCAGTATATATATAATTATCAAGAATGGAAATTTTGTTGCAACATTGTGGGGAAAAGTTGAACAGTTTCCCCTAAAAATTGTGCCTGATGTAATCCTGAATGGAACGAGAACACAAATTTCAGAGCTATGCTTTGCGAGTACATATGCCACCTTTGTTTTCAATATTGGCCTTTCTTGCCAATAAGAAAACTCTGGGTTTTCCCCAAAAATGCAGTCTTCAGTCGCCTTGTGAAACACTTCAGGAGCCTGGTTAGATCACCAGGCAGGAAAACAACACATTGAAAGCTTTTATAAGCCTCACCTGCAACACATGGGAGTCCACTCTACCAGAGGGGTCCCCAACCTTTTGAGCCTTTCGGCACCTTTGGAATTTTGTGGCTGCCACAACACGACTGCCCCAGGAGGGAGAGGCAGTCACGGAACGGTTGCTACAGCTTACGGTCAGTCCCACAGGGAATATCCTTCAGCAGTGGTGGCACTTGCTGACAAAACAACATTTTCAAAAAATCCGCACGCCAATCAAGTCTCCAATGGCGAATCAGAAACTTTGTTGGGCAAAACTCCCACCTGGCTACACCCACTTTCTAAAAGCACTTGGCAGGTGCCAGTAAAGGTGTTGGCGGGTGCCCTGGTACTTGCGAGCACCGCATTGGAGGCCCATGCTCTACCACCTCAAATAGCGAAAGGCGTGCTGACTATGCAGTCCTGTTGTCGTGCAAGCAGGATTTTGAGGTTTGCCATTTGGTGAATCAGGGGTCTGGATGCCCGTCTCAACCTTCATACTATCTGTAGCACCAGCAAACATACTAGACGGCAGAGCAACTGTAGGCAAGACTCATATGTGGAAAAGATGCAGGATAGAAATGGAGGGAACAGAAGGTGAATATGGCGTGGGAGCTGAAAGGGAAGGGAAGCCTCCTCACCAGGATGAAGCCAATTCTCCAGTCGTTCATGCCCACTTCGGGATTGTTATTCTCCACGCTGCCTTGAGCGTCTCGCTTCTGTCTACGCAGTGGGTGCCGTTGGATGTGGTAGTACAGGCTTCTGGATCTGCGTTTCCGACGAGTCTGGCTCATACGTTTTTTCTGCCGCAATGGCATGTTGTATTTGTACATATCCATCAGTGTCCGGTGGGTGATGCGGTCCAGGTCTTCCAGATCATGCTGAAGAGCACTGTACCTAAAAGATGGAAAGATGGGCTTGCCACGTCCATGTTTCTACAGGCGAATCCTCCTTCAAGGATAGACCTCGGGGGGCCTTCAACCTTGTTGAGCCCATGGGCAGTTCTGGAATTTGGAGCACAAGTAGCGGGCGCCATAACAAAATTGCTACCGCAGTTGCAGAATCAATGGCAAAATGGCTACCATGGCTGGTGCCAATCACAACATGTCAGGGAGCTCCACAAAATGTTAGGATGTTCCAAACCAATTACTCTTCTATCATGGATAGGGTTGCTAGTTCCCTCCTGGCAACTAGTGGGGGATGGGGGGACTTACCTGGAGAAAGAGAAACACCCAGGCCTCGTTGCTCGTGTTGCACGGGAACATCATCACAACAGTGACTCCAGACTTCGATCTGCTATTTGGGCAAAAACTCTACGGTAAAACTGGCTTCTACCATAGAGTTTTTGCCCAAATACCAGAGCATCACTTGGATGTCGCTGTTGTGATGACGTCACTTCCTGCACGACACCAGCAATGAGGCCTGGGCCTTTCTTTTTCTCCAGGTAAGTCAGCCTGCTAATCGGTGGCTGAGGGGCAGGGCCTGGCAGTGGGGGACTTCCTCAGAAGCAACTTAACTGGTATTGTGTATAAATTTTCTTTATGTTGTAATGTTATTTTCCTGGTTTCTAAAGACTCTTCTCAAGAGTTGCTACATTTAATATAGGGACTAGCCCTTATTTCCTTAAGCCATATCTCACGTGGGACCTGTCCTTGATAGACTAAGCTTCGAAGCCAAAAAGGTCTCTCTGTTCACCTTTTTGGCTTCGAAGCTTAGTCTATCAAGGACAGGTCCCACGTGAGATATGGTTTAAGGAAATAAGGGCTAGTCCCTATATTAAATGTAGCAACTCTTGAGAAGAGTCTTTAGAAACCAGGAAAATAACATTACAACATAAAGAAAATTTATACACAATACCAGTTAAGTTGCTTCTGAGGAAGTTAAGAGACGAAACCAAGCATAAGCCGGCTGCTTTGTCAAGAAGCCCTACATTCTTTTGACTGTTAACAGCACATGTTTTGGAATTCCACTAGTATCTTCTGGCTGTTGGCAGCAATTGATATTTTGTTGTATTACCGTGTTATTGTATAACATTAAGATATTGTATGATTAGGTT